GATAACGGTGGCCTTGGCGTCCCACCCATCAGTCCCGCTTACCAGCACCACCCTCCCTGATAGCACACCAGGCGCCATCGTCCCCGCCCTTATATTCGCTGCCAGCAATGACAACGACCCTTCCTCCGCGCAAACCGGCTGGCTGGTGCTGGTGGGCCCAGTGACTGAGGCTCGTCAGTGGGGCGCGCTCGAGGCTCAGGTGTTGGGCATGCGGACGCTCGGCCCCAGTCTATTCCTGTGGCGCGTCTGAAGCGACGATGTCCCTGCACCCGGTGCCATCAGTTTCCGAAGAACGCGCGCCCTGTGCCTGTCACCATTGCTGATGATGGCAACAAACCACACGGCACTGGGCACACGGTCAGCAATGCAAGAGAAGCCATGCAGCAATATGGTATCCTATTTGGCTGTGACAGCACGCGTGAGTGACGCAAGAAGCAGCGGTGCGCACAGGAGCAGCGGCAGTGCAAGGCGGCAAGCGCAAGAGCGGCGGCGCATGCAAGAGCGGCAATGCTCAAGGGCAGCGGCACGTCATCCGACAGTTCCTGCTGCGCTTGGGAGGCATGCGCCAGTCCCTCAGGAACAGCATCTGAGATTCCGGATTGCATGGAGCGGCCTACGCATGACAATGCCCATCAACGCCACAAAGCCTGAGCTGTTTTGGAGACCCCTAGCTGTGCGCTAGGTGACAGTCCATCTCATAGCTCGAAGCGCCCACAGATATACTTTTTAATGTTCAAATAAGCAAGCATGATGAGTAAATACATCGTGTAGTGACTATGAGGCCTGGGATGCCACCTGAGCTTGCTGCTTCCACAATGTCCGGATATTTGGACCGCGCTTGACACCTGCATCTCGACGCTTTTGCTTAGTGAGTGCTAATGCACTGGCACCATCGTCGCCAAACGCCGTCGCGTGTGTACATGTCGTTGCTGCAGTCGGAACCAGAGCTTGAACAGTGGCCGGATTAGTGACGACAGTAGGAACAAATGTGAAAGCCGAAGGTGCACCATGTAACGCAAGTGCCAGCGACATGACGATGCCGGCGGACTGCGTGAACGTGACGGTTGGTTGCACGACAGCAGACTCGAGCTGCACAATGGTGCCCTCGGGTTGCGCTGTGGGTTGTATGACAGGCTGTGTGATGGTAATCTCAGGCTGAGCAGCGGCGGGCTGCAGAGATATAGAGAGCGCAGCAGGTTGCGGCAACACAACCTGAGGCTGCGCAGCGGCAGACTGAAGTGCCAGCGTCAACTGCAGTGCGAAGACACTGCGGAACACCCCCATAGGGAGTGGAGGTACTGGTGCCATGGCCGAAGAAACAGAGACGGGGGCTGCCGGAATTGATCCCGCATGACTTTGAGCTTCATACTCCTTTACCCAGGCGTCGTATTTGGCTTGCGAGAGACAGCGGAACCGTGTTGTTCTGCTATGCCAGCTGTTGAAGAGCACACGAAGAGTGGGGACAGTGGTAATACTGCCGGGACCACAAAAATAGTTCAGCAGGTGATGCTCACAGATGACACCATACCTGAGTGTGATGGCAGAGTCAAAACTCAGGTAGTTCATTTTTTCAACAGTGTGCGGACGCGCAGCTTCTTCTACAGAGTTCCGGGATGGTGGTTAGCTTGGTGAGCACTCTGGAACAAAGAGAATCGTACGCAGGTTGCTCAAAATGATCGCCGCAATGTGCTTTCTGAGCTCAGCCTGATTGGCCTCAGTCTTCTCTTTCACCCCTGTATCAGATGGAATCAGCAGTGTAGATGAGGGGTAGTGGCACGAGCATACCTGGTACCTTTCCGAGCTTGTAACACTCAAGATTTTGCACCCAGTCTCCCAGCTCGACGCTGAAGCTCATCTAGAAGAATTGTTCGAATATTTCTGAGGTATAGAATAGATGAGGCTTTGCATAGTGAAAGGTATCACCACGCAACGTCATGAGGAAGATCTCGATGCCAGTTCAGTAGTACAGTGCGATGAGCTGCTCATAAAGTAAATATTGTTTGTAAGAACATTTGTGCGGCCACGTACCTCACGTTCGATCATTGCGATGGTCGCATGTACATTGTGGAACACGCTAAGTGGAACGTTATGACCTCCTGCCTTCTTCGTCTCGCGCTGCTCCTTTAGCTTCTCTCTTGCCTCTCGCGTGCACTCGTTCTTCTCGTCTGGTGTCTTCTGGTCCCACTCGGCCTTTAGCATGGCTGTGAGCTCTGTGGGCTTGTGTCGAGAACCGCCCTCGGGAGTCTCTATTTGGTGCTGTTATTAACACAGCAACGCCATCAAACGTTTTGCACGCACTTTTGTTAATCTGCTTCAGGCACATGTGTAGATATGCATTCCAGAGGTTAATTTCACGGGTTTTCACCATCTTTCTAGAGTGCTGTGTTGTAGTTTTGCGTTTGACGCACCCAAAGGGCTTTGTATCTTTGACGCCGTGCTTTGGCCCTTTTGTCCGTCACGCAGTGGCACACTCCATCATTGCACCTTTGTTCTCTGTATGTATATATACGTGCCGTTTACTGTAGAATAAATCATCAGACTATTTCCCCACTCTCTCGTGTGCTCGACTACTCTACAAGAGGTTATGAGCCCTGCGGCGTAGACTGCATCAACGAACTTACCTTGCACCCTGAAATTTCGCTCTCACACCAAGTCTCAACACCCGCATCAGCACGATTATCGAGTAACGATATGACAGCATGTCGGCGGACAGTGAACGGACGACAGCTATCTACGGTGGCGGCGGCCACCACATCGAACCCCTTCGCGGACCCGAAAACTTTGTGCCATGGACGGTCCGGATGGAGGACATCTTGGACGACATGGACTACTGGCCTATTGTTAAGGGGGAGCTAAAGAAACCCGAAAACGATAAGGAAGACAAGTGGACAAAGAAGGACCACAAGACACTCACCCAGATTCACCTCTGTGTCTCGGAGGCAATGATCCCCTATATCATGTCCACAAAGACGTCGAAAGACGCCTGGGACATGCTCCAGGCGATGTTCAAGGTCTCCGGACCAATCGCGGCTGTCCTCATCCGGTGGAAGCTGTTCCGCTACATGATGGAGGAAGGCTCCAATGTCGAGGAGCAGATCTGCACGCTGCGCGGTTACCAAGAACAGCTCGTCGCGCTCGATTCGGCGGTCAGCGACAAGGACTTCGCATTCGTCTTGCTCACCGCCCTCCCAGACTCCTGGGACCCATTCGTCAGCGCGCTTGACACCAGTGATCTCGAGATGAACAAGCTCATTGGTCGCATCCTTGCGGAAGACAACCGTCGGAAGGCGCGCGCGACCACCGAGACGACACTCTTTGCGAAGAAAGGCAAAGAGATGAAGAAAGGCAAGTTCCGCAAGGGCGTAACATGCTATAACTGCAACAAAGAAGGACATCTCGCGTCAGAGTGCCGTGGACTGAAGAAGAACGCTGGCAGCAGCAAGCCATCGAAGGTGCATCACACCCTCGATCACAATACGGACGACTCCTATGAGTTCAACATCTTCGACAAACAGACGTTCGTTGCACACTCGGGCCTATAGCTGGCAGACTCGGCCACTCAGTCACACATTGTACGCGACCAGTTCCTATTCACTTCCTACCACGAGACGCCTGATGGCAAGATCTCGGGAGCCGGCTCGTGTAGAGCACTCAGACGCGAAACTGTCTCTGTAATCTTCAAGGTCGATGGACGCAACATCTCGGTCACGCTACAGGACGCGATCCATGCACCTGACCTCCCAAGCAACCTCATATCTATGGGACGACTCACCAAAGCCGGTTTCACCTTTGGCGGCTTGGGCGACAACTTCTTTATCAAGAAGGGCGACCGCACGATCGGACGCGGACGTAAATTCAATAATCTGTATCAGCTGGACGTCACCCCCGCCGTTTCGACCGCATATATTGCGAAGACTGGACACATCTGGTACAAGTGGCACTGCATCTTGGGCCACCTCAACAAGGCGCAACTTCGCGATCTCAAGAAGCACTCGGTCGGCATGAACGTCAACGAGTCCTCAGACTTCGATTTCGCATGCGAACCCTGTATTCAGGCGAAACAGGCTAGACGCCCCTTCCCGAAGGAGTCAGAGACGCAGTACAAAGACGTTGGCGAACTCACCGTGTTTGACACCTGGGGTCCAGCGCGGACCGAATCAATCCACTGCAATCGGTACTATGTGTCATTCACTGACGCGAAGTCCCGCGATTCCACTATCGGCTTCATGAGGTCACGCGATGCTGCGCTCGACCACTTCAAGAAGTACAAGGCCTGCGTCGAGAAGCAAACCAGAAAGAAGCTCAAGGCTGTCCGCTGCGACAACGCGAAGGAATTTGTCGACGGCAAGTTCAAGGCCTATCTTGATGAGCAAGGTATCATTCTTGAGATGACGGCGCCGTACTCACCTGCCCAGAACGGGATCGCCGAACACCTCAATCGCACTCTTGTCGAATATGCTCGTGCGATGCTCATCGCGAAGAACCTGCCGAAGTTCTTGTGGGAAGACGCTGTCGCATATGCGTGCTTCCTGAAGAACCAGTCTCCCACGCGCGCACTGGGTGGGAAGACACCTTACGAGGCCTTCTGGGGCAAGGTGCCCAACATTTCCGACCTACATGAGTTTGGTTCTGATGTCTGGGTGCTCAGGCTAGAGACCCAGCAGAACAAGCTCGAGGCAAAGTCAGAAAAATTCCTGTTCACCGGTTTCAGCAATGGAAGCCGGGCATATTAGTACTATAACTCACGTTCGCGCCAGATTCTGATGTCTCGGAATGTCGTTTTCCCTAAGACGAGGACACCACCGATCTCCGAGGTGCCGAGTCCTCGACTTGAGGAGGAGAATGTGCCGCTCGCGCAAGACAAGTCGAGTCCTCCGGCCGAGGACACCACTCCATCTCCCACCTCTGCTAAACCCACACCAGATTTGACCCCCGATGATATCAAAGTCGACGCTGGCAACCCATCACCCCCTATTCGTTGCTCTGCACGCTCAGCAACTCCCGCATCAATCAACTATCGTGAGGCCGCAGGCTACCAGGTTCGGAAGCCCAAAGTGGATGGCGACAGCACGAAGGCGCACTTCGTGGCTGGCGAAGCATGTTTCCACACCTACACGGACGAGCCGCAGAGCGTACCCGAAGTCAAGTCGCGACCCGGCTGGTCACACTGGAAGACAGCCATGGACGCCAAAATCGCACAGCTGGATCAACTATTGACCTACGAGCTGGTCGATCTGCCCCCCGGCCGCAAGCCCATTGGCTGCCAGTGGGTATTTGTAATCAAACAGAAGGCTGGTGGTGATATCAGCAAGTACAAGGTACGACTCGTTGGCCAAGGCTTCATGCAGAAGCCTGGGCAAAATTTCTTTGAGACCTACGCACCGGTCTGTCAACAAGAATCCCTCCGCGGTCTCGTGGCCATCTCAGCACTCTATCAACTCTTCATACGCCAACTTGACGTCACTGGAGCATATCTTCACGCTGAACTCAAAGAAGAAATCTACATGGTCCAACCACCTGAGTACAACGATGGCACCGGATGTGTCTGGCGACTGCGCAAGGCTATCTATGGGCTACGGCAAGCTGGCCACGCCTGGAACATCAAACTCAACTACGAGCTCGCAGCTCTCGACTTCTGCCAGCTTTCTGCCAACGCCTGCGTGTACGCCCGCACACTCAATGGTGCCCCCATCTTCATCATCACGCACGTCGACGACATGTCTCTCATGACGTCGAGCCTCACCGTTCTCACAACTGTCAAGAAGCAGATTGCATCCCGACTGGAAGTCACCGATATGGGCAAAATCAAGAAGTATATTGGCATCGAATTCAGCATTGACCGTGAACGCGGTATCTACACAATGCACCAGACCACCTACCTCACAACCATCATCGAACGTTTTGGCATGCTCGACAGCAAGCCCGTCCGCATGCCCATGGACCCAGACGTCCACCTCACGCCCACACCTGAGAACGACGCACCCGATACAACATTTCCGTACGCAGCTGCAATCGGCTCGCTCATGTACGCGGCTGTCAGCACAAGACCTGACATCGCGTTCGCCGTCCAGCACCTTAGCCAGTTCACTGCTCACCCATCTGCTGTGCACATCACGGCAGTCAAACACATTTTCCGGTATCTGAACGGCACGCGCACACTCGGCCTCACCTATTGACCGGACGACAGCAATGTTCTCACCGGTTACACTGATGCTGACTGGGCGACATCTCTCGTCGACCGTCGCTCTATTTCCGGCTATGTCTACACGCTCGCAGGGGGAGCTATTAGCTGGAGCTCGCTCAAGCAGCGCTCCGTCGCGCTCTCGAGCATGGAGTCGGAGTACATGGCTCTTGCACATGCTACCAAGGAAGCCGTATGGCTTCGCGCCCTCTTCTCTGACCTGGGACTGCTCTTGGACGGTCCAACGCCTCTTCTCGGCGACAACCAGGCCACCATCGCATTCTCGCAAAACAATCAATTCCACAAACGCTCCAAGCACATTGACGTGCGGTACCACTTCACACGCGAACGCATAATCTCCAACGAGATTTCTGTCACCTACTGCGCATCCGAAGACAACCAGGCCAATTTATTCACGAAGGGCCTGTCTCGTCCTGCGCACGAGAGGCAACTCGCTCGAATCGGGCTTCGCGCTCATTGAGGGGGAGTGTAGTAGTTTCGCGTTTGACGCACCCAAAGGGCTTTGTATCTTTGACGCCGTGCTTTGGCCCTTTTGTCCGTCACGCAGTGGCACACTCCATCATTGCACCTTTGTTCTCTGTATGTATATATACGCGCCGTTTACTGTAGAATAAATCATCAGACTATTTCCCCACTCTCTCGTGTGCTCGACTACTCCACAAGATGCTGCATGAGAAAATGGTAAAAATATATCGCTGAATGGCTCTCGGTCTGCTTGTGGAGGTCTTCGGCAATGTTCCAAACCTTCACCCGAGCCTCACCAAGGAGTGTTTTGAGGTTATCTCGAGCTTTCTCACAATCTGCAGCCCTCATCTCCTTCTCCACCTGTGTTTCTGGCTGCCTCTTGCGCCATTTCCAATGGCGCCAGGGAACACGGCTTTTCACGCCTTCTCGAATGAATCTTGCCTGTCATGAATATCTTCGTACCGGTGACAGTTCTGGAAGTGCTTCGGCAACTTGCGTTGCACTTCCATCAGTCATGAGGCTGGCAGATGGCGGCACACAGTGGCGGATGGAGGAAGGCAGCTGACCATGGGTGTGGGAGAGGCTTGATGTTCAACCTTATTCCCTATTATAATAAATGATTTGACACTCACTCCTGGAAACTTTGAATGTGGTAAACTAAGTCACATGCAGCAACAATTCTTGTATACAAAGTAAGACCGGTGATAACTCAAGCTTAAGAGTCAGCTACGAGGCAACGCCTGCGAAGGGGAGCTGCAAAGGGGCCCGAAAACTTATCAATATGTGAGTAGAACCATATCACTTCCCACTGGGATAAAAAGCAACTCGTGCGTGCCATGAAGTCGTATCGATCCGTTGACCTCTCTGACACCTTGTAGGCCCTGTGAATGAACTTAGTTTCATAGCCAAAACTATCAACGTAGTCGTCGAGGAATGTGCCGAGAGACGGCACATGGATGTCAGTTCTGAGGTCGAAGGGGCACTTGTAGGTATGGCCGGTGATTTGCTCAGTGAAGTCCTGGTAATTTTGATACACTACAGCAGAGGTTGAGCAAATTGTGTATTATGTCAGTGGGCACTATACCATGAGGGTCCCGTGTAGACGTGTCTGTGTGATGTGGGGGCGGTTGGTGCTCCTCCTCGGCATCGCTGATGTTGATGTTGCCAGAGGCACCAGAGTACCCTGGGAGAATGTGAGACTCATGCCTGCCAGTCTTGGACGCTGGATAGTTGGTGCGTTAGACTTTATGTCACACAAAACAAAACGCGAATACTCACCGTGTCTCGCCTTGCCTTTCTGAGAAGCGTGCTTTGCTGCGGCCTCTGGAACCTCATCGTCGGTAAGAACCTCAACGGGGGCCTGCTGCAAAGTGGCTGCATATTCAGCAGATGGCCTGGGGGCTGCGTAAGAGTGCTGATGTCCGCTCTTGCCCTTGTCTTGATGAGACGCATGGCTGTGCAGAGAGTTTGGATTCGGCGCGTCGTGTCCTACATTGTGACTTCCACTAGGACTCTCCTCGGCTCAGCTTGCAGCGGTCTTCCTACTATCTGTGATAGCCTGTAGGAATTTATTGAACTCGCGCCGCGAGCTTTCCATAGACTCCACTTCCAT